TGCGGTTTTCAGTTATCTACTATGTTGAGCATGTTTTTGTATGTTTACTTGCCATCTGTAGATCATCTTTGGTGAGGTGTCTGTTCAGATCTGTGTGCATTTTTAATTGGGCTGTTTAACTTATTGTTCAGTTTTAAGAATTTTGTATATATTTTGAATACAAATTCTTTCTCAGATCTGTATTTTGCAAATATTTCCTTTCAATATGTGGCTTGTCTTTTTGTTCCCTTCACAAGGTATTTTCCAGAGTATAAACTTTAAACATTAATAAGTCCACATTGTCATGTCTTCTGTGTATATCAACCTTTTGTGTCATTTATTGAAATTCATGACCAAACCCAAAGGCACATAGTTTTTCTTCTGTAGTTTCTTCTAGAAATTGTACAGTTTTGCATTTTTAGTGTAAGGATGATTTTGAGTGATTATTTGTGTAAGTTGTAAAATTTTCATCTACATGCATATCATTTGCTATGATTTCCAATTCATTGTTCCCTCACTATTTTTGGGAAAGACACAGGATAGTGGGCTCTGTTACAGTAGACAGACAGCTAGACATGAACAGGAGGGGGAGCTCCTGGAAAAGGGAAAGTCTGGGAAGGCTCACCTGGAGGGACCACCAAAAATTCACATATTAGTAGCATCTCTAATGCTGGAGTGGATGGGCACTTGTCAATTGTGGGTAGGAGGGAGAAGAGGTACTTACGCAGAAAGAAAGACCCTACAACTCCTCTTAAGATGCCCCAGTCATCATCCACTCTACAGTAAAAATGTCACAATATTGCTAGCTACATGCTGATAAGGACAAAGGGGACATTCTTAAGAGAAACCTGGCACCATAAATACAGATTAGGGCAGAGAAAGACATTCAAAAGAGATAGGTGCAGTAGGTACATATGTGACCGCTGTCAGCCTGCTTGGGATGGCGGGAAGGAGCCCGGTGCCAGAGTGGATTCAGATCAATCACCACACATGTGTCTCAACCAACAGTGAGGAGGTCCCATAAGCCTAAGTGGGGACCTAAGGCAGTAGCAGGAAAACCAAAGAAAACAGGGGCAGACCTGAGACAGAGGCAGGACTGTGAAGTCCAAAATAAAATTCCCTGCACAGGACTCTTAGGCTGCTTTCCTGCACAATCAGCCTCCCTATTTTTCTACAATAAGCTCTTCACACTGTATTTTTGTCAATGAAGTTATCTGTCATCTTTGTACTGTCTCTTGGTGAAACTCTTTCTTCCAAGTTAGAAAAGAACTGGGACATCAGCTCTCCCCAGTAATAGCTCCCTTTCAGTTTGAATTTCCAGAACTGATAGCACTTAATAACTGGCGCTCTGACTTTAAGTGGTGCACGAGGCGGCCAGTAGGGGGCGCCAGCCGTCACACCTGGAGCAAGAGGGTCCTGCATAGTCCCCATCTGTCTGCAGGTGGTGTGCTGCCACGACACTGCCAGCAAGAGGGCCCGGCAGTGTCCCTCAGCACCAGCAGAGGGCGTACGATGAGTATACCGTGAGCAAGAGGATCCTGCAGTGTCCTTAGCTGCCACCAGGTGGCGCAAGGGCGCCACACCATGAGCAAGAGAAGCCTGCAGTGTCCTGGTTGGCAGCAGGGGGCGTGCTGCCACCACACTGTGAGCAAGAGGATCCCGTAGTGCCCCAGCGGCCAGAAGGGGGCGTGCCCCCACTACAAGGCAAGCAAGAGGGCCCGGCAGTGTCCCCAGCTGCCAGTTGGGGAGCCAGCCGCCACTTCACTT